GCCTTGGAACGCCTAGGCTAGCCTAGGCTGGCCTAGGCGCTAGGCTAAGGGTCAGCGCCTAGAAAGCGCCTAGCGCCTTCTTGAGCCTGTTGAGACCACTGAAACTGTGTGTGCTTGAGGATGTTTGTTAAGGGCTTTGCTATAATCCCATATCCCTTGACAAATTTTCTGTAGTAGCCTGTCAGGCCTAAGAATGCTCTCAACTCAGTGGTGTAGGCCAGTGCAACATTGCTTGTACCTTGCTTGGATCAGTAGAGACCCCTTCTGAAGAAATGATATGCCCTAGATATTCCAATTTTGGTTGAGCAAAAGAGCACTTCGACTGCTTTAGATATAATTGATTGTCCAGCAGAGTTTGCAGCACTGACTGAAGGTGTTGACAGTGTTCATCCAAAGACTTGCTGTATATTAGTATGTCATCCAGGAAGACTATAACAAATTTTCTCATGAAGGGCTGCAACACTTGATTCATTACACACTGAAAGGTTGCAGGTGCATTAGTGCGACCAAAAGGCATCACTTTAAATTGATAATGTCCATGATGTGTTTTAAAGGCGGTCTTATACTCATCCTCTTGAAGCATTCTCACTTGGTGATAGCCTGACTTCATATCCAACTTGGTGAAGATCTTGGCTCCAGACAACTCATCCAAAATCTCTTCTATGATTGGTAGAGGAAATCTGTTTTTTATAGTGATGTCATTCAACTTCCTGTAATCAACACAAAACCGCCAGGTTCCATCTTTTTTCTTCACTAAGAGGACAGGAGAGGCAAAAGGGCTGTGACTGTGTATTATAAATCCTGCCTCCAACAACTGTTTGACCTGATCCTCAATCTCTGTTTTCAATTGTGGAGAGTAATGATAAGGTTTGGCATTGATGGGTACTGCTCCTGGGGTAAGTGGGATAGAGTGATCATAACTTCTTGCAGGGGGAAGTGTTTGGGGATCATTAAACACTGTTGCATATTGTTGGAGCACCTGCTGGATTGCTGGTGGTACTGGACTGCTATCTTCAGCTGTAGTAGACAGAGATGGTTGAGCTGTGTTGACAATGGCAAAGGCCCATGCATCATTGCCCTTGGTGGCATTGTACAATTTGGTAGCTGAAATTGATGTTGCACCCAGTGGTGGTGGCAGGAGGCCCTGTAACTTTATCTGCTGACCTTGATGTTCAAATTCCAATGTTTTTGTGTCCAAATCACACTTCATTGGACTGTGTTGCTTGAGCCAATCATACCCCAGAATGGCATCATATGGTGCCATATCCAGCACTGTCATATCACTAGACAAGGTGTGTCCTTGGATGTACCATTGGAGATTAGGAACCTGGGTTGCTGTTGTAAGATAGTGACCATTTGCCAGCTTCACTTTCCTTGGTGGTGAAGGTACTGTTGTCAATTTTGCTAATTGGACAAAATTTTTGCTGACAAAGCTGTGAGAGCTTCCTGAGTCCAACAGGATAAGCATCACTTTGTCTTTGACCATGGCCCTGAGCTTAATGGAATTTTCTGTTTCTGAGCTACAGGGGGCATTTAGTGAAAGCTGACCAAAGTCTTCAGTTAAGGCATCCTCCACTGCCAACTGGTTCAGCATATCTTCTGTGATTTCAGTTTTGTCCAGGTCATTGACCACCAGTGCATTGATCTGAGGTTTTTGTTTGTTTGGACAAATATCAGCGTGCCCTGGTTCATACTTCTCTCCACAAGAGTAGCATAGATTGTTAGCTCTCCTGTAGTCCCTCAATTGTCTGATCCTCTGTAAATTGACTGTGGATGTGTTCAGTAGGGCCTCTGGTTTTTGGTTCTGAAATCTTGGTATTGGATTTTTGTTGGACTTGGACTTGTTTCTTTCCAAAGTCCTCTGCTGTATTTTAGCTATCACTGCCGCTCTATCCACAGTCACAGGAACATGATGTTCCACAGTAGCTTTAATGTCATCTCTGAGTCCCTCCACATACTTGGTTGCAAAAAATAGCTCATCATAGTGACTATTGTGCATGGTCAGCTCAAATTGTAGGGCTTGAAATGCTTTGGTATAGTCTTCCACAGTTCCTGTTTGCTTGAGATTCAGCAAATCAGATATTGCAGTCCTGAAATCATCAGCACCAAATTTATCTTGTACTATTTCACAGAACTTTTTCCAGCTTGGAATTTGATGATTCTGTTTGTATGCTTGCCACCACTTGGCTGCATTGTCTTGCCAATGCATGGTTGCAGCAGTAACCTGAAGATTTGTTGGAATGCTATAGATTGTGAAATAGTTGGTGCAGTTATCAATCCAAATCTTTGGGCTGCATCCATCAAACTTTGGGAAGTGCATCTTAGGCAGAGTATGGTGTGGCAAAGAGTCTGTCTTGGGTTGCTCTCTCTTGTTCTTGGATTTTCAGGAGGGTTCTGCAATATCTTTCTCTTTGCCAAACACATTGGTGAAGGAAGGTTCTTCTTCAGACAAGATAGATTCTGCTTCTGAGTTATCATACTGAGCTTCAGCTTCCATAGTACGCAGCGTCAAGGCCGCCACTGCCTGTCCATTAGCTTGGACCTGCTGAGACATAACTCTCTGAGCCTCGCACTGGTCCTGGAAATCTTTCTTCATCTCTTGCTGAATGAGGCCAATGTCGTTCACCCGAGCAAACAGAAGATCAAAATCCTCCATAACCTGATCCCACCGTCCCTTTTCTTCGTCTGTTTTGCTGGACATGGCTTCCAAGATGATGTTGGTTTGTGCTGAAGGTTTTGGTGGCGCCGTGATTGACAGATTGAAGAAACCCCGTGCAAATCAGAAATTGGATGTGGCAACTGGTTTGGTGAACACCTCCCCGTTTGCCTGCCACACCCGATCGCCGACTACGCCTGAAAGTGCGGCACGCCCAAGGAATTTTACACAGGAACACTGTCCTGCAACCCGAGTGCGTGGGCACTTTCCCGCCGTCACCTCCCACACCCCAATCGGCTTGAGGAAGCTCTGGAATTTTACACAGGAACCTGAAACCCTTACTCCGATTGAGTGTACCGAAAGAAATTGGAGCACGGATGATGTGGTGCTCACCAAGGTTCACGCCGCCGAACCAGAATTGTCGATGTAGTCCCCTAGTCGAGTATTATGCCGAAGAGGTTGATTAGGGTTTGATGGAGGTGGAGATGGTGGGGCTCAAGCTCAGTAGTATCGCTGCCGGTGCTGACCCAGTTCAACCAAAGGAGGGACCTTTGGGATCTCGCGTCGAACACCCCAAGGGCGTGAACGGAGATCACCTGCCCACCGGAATTATGCCCACCGGAATTACGAACTGAAGATCGAAGCACGCGGTGTTGGAACGTACCGTGGAATAACTGAGCGCCTTGGTGGTGGTGGCGGTGACGCCGGATCGTCGGATCCGTCGCCTGGGTTGTCGGAGATGAAGGATAGGGCGGAGACGATAGGTTGTTGTGGAAGCTGGGTAACTGGCGGTGGACAGAGCCCACTGGAGCCTACGCCCACGCCGAGGAAGGACGGTCTCTGATACCAACTGTTATGCCCTGTGGCTGCCGGTGATGGCCGGCGACGTGAGAGAACTAGGCTCAGATGCCGACGAACGAGACGAGGACACTCCCTCGATGTCTCGGTTTTCTTTTTCAGAAATGCAATAGTTCCCAGTTCAGCTTACAACGCACGCTTATACCCAGTTCTGGCCTATGGCCCACATGTCACAGATACATAAATAAGCAAGCAAATAAGATACGTTTGATAACTTGTAAAACGTAAAACGCCAGTGCGCCATCTTCAGTCTTCCATGGGTGTAGGCCTGACAGTTCCTGGTCCATATATTTGTGGTATCAGCTCACAACTCAAGTACCTTTTACTAGGTACCTTTCATTTTTAAGTTTTAACCATTGGATCTGGGTAATGAATGGTTATTATAATTCCCAAGCACTGTAAATCTCTTAAATGAGATGGCCAACCTCCGGATAAAATGCATTTTAATACCCATGATTCATCGTACGTGGTTAAGGTATCACAAACTGATGTTATTACTACTTACAGGGCTTTGGAGCTCTTTGGTACGTTCTTTCCATCCAGCGAGAAGACACCTGTTGGAGACAAGCATGTATCAATCAGACTGGCTGTGAGCTTACATCTTTATACTCTGGGTATCATCCACTCACAAATAATTCTTTCTTACAAAGTGCATGCCCAACAAATAGCACTTCCAATCCCAATCCAGACCCGATATTTGGAATCTTTCTACCTGCTCTCCAAAATGTTTCACAATCAATGAGTTTCTTTGAAAAACTATTCTATTGCTTTTGGTGGGGCCTACAGAATCTAAGGTTTGCTAAGAAAAATTAGCTTCCAGTTTTTTTCCCTGTCAATGCACATTTATATATTGGTCTATTTATTGCAGTTCCCTTGGCCAGAACATGAAAACAAGCACTAATACTTTGGAGAATCTGTTTGCTGTTTTTGTCTCGACATCGGGTTTGGTTCTATTTGCACTACTTATTGGTAATGTGCAGGTACAGACACTATTTTGGCATTGTTGATATTTTCTTTGTAATGTATGCTATTCGATTAAGTGGTGACTAATTAGTATTAATAAGGCCGACATATCGAAAGGAATCTTTTGATGTGCACCTGCAGATCTAATCTGTTATGCTAAAATCTCACTGCATAATTTTGATGCATAGTCATGTGATTATAGTCAAATTCATTGGATAAATGTGAAAATGGAACTGCCTATAGATTGAGCTCATCCATCTTAATATTCACACCATGCTAGTACCAAATATACAGGAACATTTTGTTTACATAATTCTCTGAAGTTAAGTGCTCAAGTGATTCTGCACTAAATGCTTTTCCTTAATACACTGATGGAAAAAAAAACTGAAATTGGAAAGCATCAGAAATCTTATTTTATTTATTTTTAAAGATAAGCTGTCTTTTATTACCTTCAATGTTAATATTTGCCTCAAACAGCTAGATCCATATATTTTAGGCCTGTATATTCATAAATGTGGGGGCCATGCCCTGTACCAGGTCTGCAATAGTTGCTAACTGTGCAGTTGACACCACAATCATCCCTCTAATTAGAGCTGGTGCTGGTAACAACTTGGTTGTTTTGAAAAATAAAATAGGCTAACATACATGTTTAGATCTTTTTTTCTAAATGTTTTGATTGATCTTCTCATTATAACCCACAATTAATTAGCTATACCAGTCCATTTCCTTTATTTATCATCTCTGGTTTACCAAAATTTATCCTGCAGTGTACCATGCCATATCTGAAGACAACCGCGTGTTTGAGAAAAATAAAAAGACAACAGCCTCATCATTTTAGTTTGAGGCAGGAACTATTAGTTTAACCATTAATTACTTGGCTACTAACTAGTCAGCTAAGCTTTGTGCATGCCATATTATATAGTTTTCTTTTTTTGTTTGGTGAATTGCAGACCTATTTACAGTCAGCTTCTGTGCGTATAGGAGAAATGCGAGTGAAAAGGCGTGATACAGAGCAGTGGATGGCACATAGGTTACTCCCTGAGAATCTCAAGGATCGGATTATGCGCCATGAACAATATAGGTGGCAAGAAACAAGAGGGGTTGACGAAGAGGGCCTTCTTATAAATCTTCCCAAGGATCTTAGAAGAGAGATAAAGAGACATCTTTGTTTGTCGCTTCTCATGAAGGTGCTTCCCTGAACCTCTATCTGATTTGTTTTCTCCTTGCTCATCTTGTGGTGTATGGTTGAATGGTTATGGATATACTAACAACACTCTCAAGTACTTTCTCCTTGAGATAACATTTATCTGCAGCGTCCATGCTGACTGGATATTTTGACTTATTGCCATGCGCCTATGTGCTGATGATATATATATGCCTAGCCTTATTCGCCAAGGACCACAAGTTCTTGAAGTAGTAGGTGTTTTAAATCGTAAATGGAAGCTCCTGGTTTCTTATGTTGTATGGTTCTGCTAAGCATAGGATTAGCAAGTGCCAGGTGTGGTTTTGTTCTGGACCAGGCAGGCTCTTATCTGGGCTTTAGTGCAACTCATGGCTGAAGTTTGATGACGTCTGGTGGAAATTTATTTGTGTCAGCAAGGCAGAATGTTTAATTGGCCCCATGTATTGTTTGACAGGCCTAATGGTACTTTGAAGTTTGAACTGTGTATATGAGGAGCTTGTTCATACAATTCATGCCTTGAAGAAACAATAATGTTATCACTTGACCGCCTTCATCCACTCCAACAGCACTCTGTCATGCTAGATGGAGCTTGATTCAATTTATGTGCTGATCGCAGACGCAGAAGAGGAGGGGAAAGCCCAATTAGATAATGTTCTTGGGTAATAGATATTGACAGAAAAGGAAATTCTGAGATTAGCTTCCTTTGCTAGCCTATGCGGCATGGACGTTCACTTTCTCTTGAATCTCTGCAAAGCTAGTTATACTTTGCCAACTTATTTTTAAAAAGGAAATTAAGGTATTCTAGAAGGTTTCATTCTATCATCTCAATGCCAGTTCCCTTCAAGATGTGTCTGAATTGCAATATGACGTGTTTCAGGAAATTCCTTACATGAGCTTTGATTGCATGACCATAGAAAGTTCAATAGCAGTTAATAACATTTGAAGACTTTATTGAGCCTATAAATTTCCGGATGGGATCTATGCCTTTTATACTTGATTCAATATTACTTTCTTTTAATGTCATGTTTTAATGAACAGCTGCCATACCTTACTATGTTAATAGCATGGTTAACCTTTTGCTGTTGTTTGCAGGTTCCAATGTTTGAAAACATGGATGAACAACTGTTGGATGCCATGTGTGATCGTCTGAAGCCTATGCTGTACACAGAAGGAAGCTGCATCATTCGCGAAGGTGACCCAGTGAATGAAATGCTCTTCATCATGAGAGGAACACTAGAGAGTACCACAACAAATGGTGGACAAACTGGCTTCTTCAACTCTAATGTTCTAAAAGGTGGAGACTTCTGTGGTGAAGAGCTCCTCACATGGGCCCTTGACCCCACTTCAGCTTCAAATCTTCCTGGCTCAACTAGGACAGTGAAGACGTTGTCTGAAGTTGAAGCTTTTGCTCTGAGGGCTGATGACTTGAAGTTTGTTGCCACGCAATTCAGGAGGCTCCACAGCAAACAACTCCAACATACCTTCCGATTTTACTCACAGCAATGGAGGACCTGGGCTGCTTGCTTCATACAAGCAGCTTGGCACAGATACTGCAGAAAGAAGCTGGAAGAGGCTTTATTTGAGAAGGAGAAGAGGTTACAAGCAGCAATTGTAAGTGACGGCACTACTTCGCTCAGTCTTGGTGCAGCGCTCTATGCTTCACGTTTTGCTGGCAACATGATACGGATCTTACGGAGAAAGGCCACCAGAAAGGCCCGTTTGCAGGAAAGAGTACCTGCAAGACTGTTACAAAAGCCAGCAGAACTCTTCTTCTTTGCTGAAGATAGCTGAACTTGGACCCTGTAGCAAGCAGGCATTCATGATCCAACCGGTAAAATTTGTTCACAATTTAAAATTGGATGCTGTGGATAGACAAAAGGGTGGGCCTTGTGCAAGCGGTAGAGTTTACCGCATGTAACCGGAAGGTCCCGGGTAGGGCTGGACAAAATACTCGTGGCTCGCCAACTCGCTCGACTTGTGGCCGGCTCAGCTCGGCTCGACTCGGCTCATTTTAATTTTTTTACGAGTTGAGCTGAAAGTCTAGCTCGCGAGCTGCTCACGAGCTAAAACGAGTTGAGGCCTATCAGCCCACGACCATGAATCCAAAAGAGGATGATGCTGACCTAGAAGTGTACATATATTCTATTGGTATGTAATCTTTATTTTCAGCTGTTTCATATGAATTTTAATTTTATAATTATTGTGGTACTTGAATGTTGATTTATGGATTGTTTTCTAGGGAGAAGATGATCATGTTGATATTAAATCTGTGGACTTTTCTAAATTTATAGTGACAAGCAACTAGTTAGTATGCTGAAACTGCATGATTATGGATGGACCAGCTATGTTACATGGGTGATACTTTTGATGAACCTAATATGTATTAATCATGTATGGTTGCATAATGGTGGATGTCACCTTCTAAAATTAATATAGCATAAACATTATAAACATGTGTGTCCAATTTTTTTAGTAGCTTGCGGGCTAAACGAGCCAAGTTCGAGCTCGGTAACGAGCCGAGCTGGCTCGTTAGCCTAACGAGCCAGCTCGAGCTGGACAGAGCCGAGCTGGCTCGATATCCAGCTCTAGTCCCGGGTTCTAAGTCGTGGTCTTCTCGCATTGTATAGGTGAAGGTAAGGCTTATCACTAATATCCTTCTTTAGATTCCGCATAGAGTAGGAGCTCTCTGCACTGAGAACGCTCTTTTTATGCTGTAGATAGACAAATCAGGCGCTCTAATGCCGTCTGGTTTAAATCATGTAATTTAGTGTATATTTCGATTGTATACATGTTGCATGTATTCTAAACATCCGAATTCCTCGTGCATTTGAAAAAAAAGAAGATGCTGTGAATGTAATCGATCAATTGTTTGTTAACTTATTTCTGATAAGGATGTTTGTTAACTTTGGATATTCTCACGTGTGATTCTGTGGCGAAGTTTGATAGGATCAAAATTGTTAAAAATTCCAAACCACTTATACATGTGGTAAATTTATGTCTTCGTAGCACATATTTTTTCAGACCAGAGGTCCGGTGGAATTTCAAGAAAAAAAGCATAATTTTAGGAAAGAATCTAGCCCTGCCAAAAATAAGACCTATTTAAAGTTCATCGACTCATTAGTTTTTCAATTGTTTTCTCATTCAGCTACCAAAACCCACAAGAGTACCTAGATGCCTTAGGCTATCTCCAACAGAGCCGACCCAAATTTCACCATTTGGGTCACGGCACAGTAAATAAGTGAGCTACCCAGATTCTTCCGTTTCCAACAGCGAACGCAAAATATCTTCGGTCCTCTCTCTCCCACGCGGCTGCCTTGCTCTCTTCCTCTCTCTCCCACGCGGCCGTGCAGGGCATGGTGACGGCGACGACGTGGGGCGACGGCGCGCTCTGGCGCTGGCGCGGCGCCTGGATCCGGCCCCCTCCCTCTCCTTCTTCCCCGAGCCCGGTGGAGCTCGCGCCCGCGTCCGCCCCCCTCCCTCTCCTTCTTCTTCACGCCCGTGCCCGGCGGAGCTCGCCCCCGCGGCCTGGCTGAGCTCGCGCCCGGATCCGGCCCCCTCCCTCTCCTTCTTCCTCGAGCCCGGCGGAGCTCGCGCCCGCGTCCGACCCCCTCCCTCTCCTTCTCTTTCTTTGCGCCCGCGGCTCGGCGGAGCTCGCGCCCGCGCCCTGCCCCGATGGCTCCTATGGGCCCACCATTTGCGTCGTCTCTCTTCGAAACACAGATTTGCCTTCCGAATCGCAGAGGACCCAGAATGGGTATCTGATTTCGGTCTTTCGTTGGAGGATGGTTTTGGTACCCAAAAACACTGTGCAGAACGCATTTTTGCGTTTAGATCACGCCATTGGAGACAGTCTTAGTATATATTTTTGTCTTGGGCTAGTTTTTCGGTGCTTTTTTCCCTCTCTTCTGAGGCTTCTTTGTACCGTCTTTGTTTCTGTTTAATATAATAATGTCTACAGTGGGGGCCTCACATGCTGTATTTTCTACAACAACAACAAAGCCTTTAAGTCCTAAACAGGTTGGGGTAGGCTAGAGTTGAAATCCAGCAGAAGCAATCAAAGTTTAGGCACGTGAATAACTGTTTTCCAAGCACTCCTATCTAAGGCTAAGTTTTTAGATATATTCCATCCTTTTAAGTTTTCTTTTATTGCCTCTACCCAAGTCAACTTCGGTCTTCCTTTACCTCTCTTCACGTTACTATCCTGGCTTAGGATTCCACTACGCACCGGTGCCTCCGGAGGTCTCCGTTGGACATGTCCAAACCATCTCAACCGGTGTTGGACAAACTTTTCTTCAATTGGTGCTACCCCTAATCTATCACGTATATCATCATTCCGAACTCGATCCCTTCTTGTATGACCGCAAATCCAACGCAACATACGCATTTCCGCGACACTTATTGTTGAACATGTCATCTTTTCATAGGCCAACATTCTGCACCATACAACATAACAGGTCTAATTGCCGTCCTATAAAACTTGTCTTTTAGCTTCTGTGGTACCCTTTTGTCACATAGGACACCAGATGCTTGGCGTCACTTCATTCACCCTACTTTGATTTTATGGCTAACATCTTCATCAATATCTCTATCTATCTGTAGCATCGATCCTAAATATCGAAAGGTATCCTCCTAGGCACCACTTGACCTTCCAAACTAATATCTTCCTCCTCCCGAGTAGTAGTTTCGAAGTCACATAACATATACTCAGTTTTAGTTCTACTGAGTCTAAAACCTTTGGACTCTAAAGTCTCTCGCCATAACTCCAGTTTTCGATTTACTCCTGTCCGGCTTTCATCAACTAGCACTACATCGTTCGCGAAAAGCATACACCAAGGGATGTCCCCTTATATGTCCCTTGTGATCTCATCCATCACTAAGACAAACAGATAAGGGCTCAAAGCTGACCCTTGATGTAGTCCTATCCTAATCGAAATATCATTTGTGTCTCCATCACTTGTTCAAACACTAGTCACATCATTGTTGTACATGTCCTTAATGAGCCCGACGTACTTCGTTGGGACTTTATGTTTGTCCAAAGTCCATCACATAACATTCCTTGGTATTTTATCATAAGCCTTCTATAAGTCTATAAAAACCATGTGTAGGTCCTTCTTCTTCTCCCTATACCGCTTCATAACTTGTCTTATTAAGAAAATGGCTTCCATGGTTGACCTTCCCGGCATGAAACCAAATTGGTTCACAGAGACCCATGTTATTGCTCTCAAGCGATGCTCGATAACTCTCTCCCATAACTTTATAGTATGGCTCGTCAACTTGGTTGAAGTCCCTTGTCTTTCTCTCACGAACTTTAGTCATCCTATAAATGTCATTCTCTCCTTCCTTCGTACTCAAATATTGGTAAAGATCCTCGTACGCTCTACCATTTGCCACACTTACAGCTCGCTTTGCAATCTTCTTTGCCACCTTGTACTTCTCTATATTGTCCACACTCCTGTCATGGTATACGTGTCTATAGCATTCTTTCTTCTCCTTAATAGCCCTTTGGGCTTCCTCGTTCCACCACCAAGTATCTTTAGCCTCGCCTCCACTTTGTTTGGTTACTCTACACACCTTTAAGGTCACCTTCCGAATGTTGATTGCCATCTTCTCCCACATGTTGTTTATGTCCTCTTCTTCCTTCCAAGAGCCCTCTTTGATAACCCTTTCCCTGAATACCTCTGACGTCTGCCCTTTCAGTTTCCACCACTTTGTTCTTTCAATCTTAGCTTGTTTATCTCTACGGGCACGCACCTGAAAATGAAAGTCTGCCACCAAAAGCTTATGTTGAGAAACAACACACTCTCCTGGTATCACCTTGTGACCCAAGCATGCTCGTTTGTCCTTTCTTCTTGCGAGGATAAAGTCATTCTGGCTAGAGTGTTGTCCGCTACTGAAGGTCACTAGATGAGATTCTCTCTTTTCTAAAGAAAGTGTTGGCTATCATCAGATCAAAAGCTACCGTGAAGTCCAGAACTTCCTCCCCCTCCTGATTCATACTACCATACCCAAAACCTCCATGAACTGCCTCAAAACCTACGCTTGTAGTACCTACATGCCCATTAACATCTCCTATAAAAAGCTTCTCACTACTAGGTACAGCTCTAATCAGGCCATCTAAGTCTTTCCAGAACTGCCTCTTAACACTCTCGTCGAGGCCTACTTGGGGGGCATACGCACTAATTACGTTCAAGACCATATCACCAACGATAAGCTTGACTAAGATAATCCTATCTCCTTGCCTTCTCACTCCCACCACACCATTCTTGAGGCTCTTATCAATTAAAACTCTTACTCTATTTCTATTCGCGACTATCCCTGTGTACCAAAGCTTGAAACTTGTATTGTCCACCTCCTTCGCCTTCTGACCCTTCTATTTAGTCTCTTAGACGCATAATATATTTACACGCTTCCTAGTCGCGGTATCAACTAATTTTCTTAACTTACCTATAAGCGACCCTACATTCCAACTAACTAAACGGATCCTAGTTGCCTCGACTAGCTTTCTTACCCTTCGCACCTGTCGACTCAGATGTGAAGACCTTTGCTCATTTTTCACTACATCAGGGTACCGATGTAGCGCGCCACTAAGGAAGCGACGACCCGATCCTTGCTCACTTGACACCATGCCCAGATCGTGACACGGTGCGTCACCAAGGGGGGTGCCGACCCAGCCCTTGCCCATTTAACACCATACCCGGGTTGCGCGTCGCTAAGAGGGTTATGCCCCAACGGTTTTCTTTTGGGTTTCATCTCCATTAGAATGGCTAGATTTAATGTTGGCTCGCCATGCCTATCACAACCCTCCTCCTTTACCAGGGTTTGTGACCTGCTATGTTGAGACAACATAGGCGAAGTTTCCTGCTGTATTTTCTGTTGAAAAAAAAACTAGAGTACCTAGATTCATTTTCAATGTCATGTCTTATATCTTGTACCTACTATCTCGTGTCATGTGAACAATCATTTGAATTTTGGCCAGAACCATGACTGTTCTGGCCTATAAATTACATGTCTTTCAAAATACTCTGTCTTATGTCATGTGAACAATCATATATTTTATCAAATCTTACCGTGTCATCAGCTTATTTGACGACAGAAATAAAGAAAAAGAGTTCAGGCTCCGTTCTTGGTCCGCTACTGTCAACATCAGACGCTATTTATTAGCCATTCTGTTCCGTGTCCAGTGGACAGCAGAGCCAAGTGAGCAGCAGAAGCTGGAAGCCCCCGGATTGCTGGCGCCGGCTGACCCAATCAAATCGAGTCCAGGAGTCCAGCATGCACGGCGAAGCAGACTATCCAAGGCTGTCCGTTGAGCTTGGTCTTCTCCGCCACCTCGTCGACCCTTGTCCTTTGTAAATGTCCACATCCACGTCCCTGCTCCGTCGTTCCCAACTCCGCCACCTCGGCCGCCACGTCTCCTCGAAAGAAAAGCTGATTCTTTCGAGGTTTTGTTCTCCGTACGTCGGCGATTGGCACTTTGGCAGGTGATTGTCATTCAGAGAGGCGTAAGCTTCACGAATGGAGTAACTGTTTCTGCCTTGCCGCCGGAACCAATGGCACTGTCACTGCGACTGCGAGGGGTAAGCTTCTCTGATCCTATCCTGCATTCATGCATTGCAATGCAATCTTTTGTGTCTGTCAGCTCTATCAAGTTCACACTGGAGTGGACTGAATCCCCAAGTTTCGATTGGTGATCGATCTTTGCCGAAATGTCTTACTCTGACAACTAAATTTCGTGTGCAGCACGTGCAGGGTTTCAGAACTGGAGATCAGAGCAGTTCATTGGATCGGATGACATTGTAACCTGCTAGTGCTAGCATCCTGCGCTGTAAAAAGGAAAGAAAGAAATGAAGCCCAGCGCAAGAGTTCTTGATCCTCGGGGGCCATTTCTACAGAAATGGAACAAGATATTTGTGATATCATGCCTTGTTTCAGTCTCCGTGGACTCGCTCTTCTTCTATGCCCCGGCGATCGATGGCGACAACAGCTGCCTGTATCTGGATGACAATCTTCAAAAGATAGCTAGCATCCTGCGCTCTCTCACCGATATCTTCTATTTACTCCGCGTAATATTCCAGTTCAGGACAGGCTTCGCAGCTCCCTCATCTTCTAGAGCGTTTGGTCGCGGTGTCTTGGTTGATGACATGTTGGCAATAGCAAAACGGTATCTATCGACATATTTTCTGATTGATATCTTAGCTATTCTGCCCCTTCCTCAGGTACCCTATCTTTCAGTTCTGATGGTCTTATACTTACTATTACTAAAAACACAGAAGATTGATTTCACAATTTTAAGGATATCAGGATGTCTTAGCTCTGCACTTGACCTTGATGTTTTCTATCAGGTTTTTGTGTGGTTAGTGCGGCCACGTCTCCAAGGTTCAAAGGTTATGACCGCAAAAAACGTATTGATGTTCATAATCTTGTTCCAATATGTGCCCCGACTGACCAGAATAATACCACTCTACCTTGAAATCACGAGATCAGCTGGTACAGTAATGGATACGGCATGGCCGGGTGCTGCCTTTAACCTTCTGGTTTACATACTTGCTAGTCATGTAAGTCCTCTAATCATTTATCAATACTGTTGAAATATAAGTGATCTATACACCTTTTTTTTCTTATCAACTTAGTCTTTGGGCTGAACTAGTCGGTGCATGCTAGAGGTCTCGATGTCAAATCTTGGCAGGCACAATTAAATTAAATAATTGTAACCTACTTGTAATTTCATATTTTGTTCGCTTGTCTTATAAGCCGTACTTTTTCAGCGAAGGAACAGTGTTTTTCTCTCACAACAAATCAGCCAACATTACTTGTCTTTTTAGCAAAGCGAACAGTGTTTTCTCTCTTCATTAAAAAAGGGTTTTCATCTGAAACTATGCATTCTTTTCTCGATTCACACAGGCTAAGCCTCAAGATAGATTAACACAATTAATCTTGCTACATATCACATTGTGCATGACCAAGATAGTACTAACCGATGCATTGACTTCTTACAGGTCCTTGGGGCTCTTTGGTACATTCTTGCCATACAACGAGAAGACACCTGTTGGAGAGAAGCTTGTAATAGCCAGGATGGTTGTGATCTGGCAACTTTATATTGTGGAAGTACTGCATTTGGAAACAATACTTTCTTACAAGATGCTTGCTCAACAAATGGCGGTGCTGATGTAGATCCAATCTTTGGAATTTATCTACCAGTTCTCCAGAATGTTTCACAATCAACAGGTTTCTTCGAAAAATTATTCTACTGCTTTTGGTGGGGGCTACAAAATCTATGGTACATCACCAACCCACACACACACCACCACCAAAGACTAATGCCCTGGGACTTGTACTTATGTGTTGCCATTTGTATTGCAGTTCCTATGGTCAAAACCTTAAAACAAGCACTTACATATGGGAGAATCTGTTTGCTGTTTTTGTCTCAATGTCAGGTTTAGTTTTGTTTGCTCTCCTTATAGGAAATGTGCAGGTACAGTTTTAACTTTTAAACATTGATGAAATTTTATTGTTATCTGTGCTTTTAGATTAAGTGTCAATTTATTTAAAGTAGATGTTATGTAGCTCTGTATTTGCTGTCTAGAGATGATGTCAGCTCCTAGTAGGCTCATCCTTCGGGATTCTAGCCTTCCAAGACCTTTATAAAGAATCTCATGGCCTTATGCTGGACAACATAATCATGTTTGTTGCCTCTAATCGTAATTGATACCGGTACCAGCTTGGCTATTATCTAACTCTTATCAAAATAGCATGGACTAAATCAACTTTAAGATCTTTGTTTCATTGTTTGCAAGAAATTCAAGTGACATTTTTGATACAATCCTGAATGAGCTAGCTATGAAAACCCATTTCTCTATAAGAATTGGCCATAGAGATTTATCCTTAAAATGATTCCGTATGTTTTGACTTCGTTGTACTTATGCTAGCTATATGCAAGAGGTCATTGTTTAAGGAGTAAGTCTGGACAACATGTTGAATTATATAACTAGTGATGATGTTTGACCTGATCATATTTCTCCAAATTTATTTTCTTTTTCTTGGTTGGATTGAATTGTTGCAGACCTATTTACAATCAGCCTCTGGGTATATAGAGGAAATGAGAGTGATAAGACGTGACACAGAGCAATGGATGGCATACAGATTACTTCCAGAGCATATCAAGCAACGAATATTGCGTCATGATCAATATAGATGGCAAGAAACACAAGGTGTGGATGAAGAGGGTCTTCTTATAAATCTTCCTAAGGATCTCAGGAGGGATATAAAGCGTCATCTTTGTCTATCACTTCTCATGAGGGTACTACTTCCCTATACCTTTAAGCTTTATTTATTGATAGTCATAAGGAATTGCTTTGATCTTTGGCCCGTTTGTGTGCCCTTAAATCCGGCTTGATCCGCTTCTTTTTTCATCCGGAACAGTGTTTTTCTCTCACAAATTCCTCCAGCATTCCTCCAAACCATCCAAATTCCTCCAAGCGAACAGGCCCGTCCCATTCAATACGTGAGACTCAAACCCATCATGATTCCGATGACAATGGCTACACCATTTACACACCGTTTAAACGTTACACAGTGGTATATCAATTTCCATTTAATGGGCCGCATTTCCCATTTCCCATTTAGCGTTTAGAATAACACTAGATAATATGTATCATCGACCAAAGAAATTAATTTAGTTAATTGACATTAATTCCATCTGGTGTTGCAGGTTCCAATGTTCGAAAACATGGACGATCAGCTCTTAGACACCATGTGTGATCGCGTAAAACCCATGCTGTACACAGAAGGAAGCTGCATCATTCGCGAAGGCGACCCAGTCAACGAGATGTTCTTCATCATGAGAGGGAGACTTGAAAGCATGACAACAGACGGTGGGCGAACGGGCTTCTTCAACTCCAATGTTCTCCAAGGCGGCGATTTCTGCGGCGAAGAGCTCCTCACATGGGCTCTGGATCCTGCTTCGGGCTCAAACCTTCCCAGCTCAACCAGGACGGTGAAGACGCTGTCGGAGCTCGAAGGTTTCGCCTTGAGGGCTCATCACCTGAAGTTTGTGGCCAATCAGTACAGGAGGCTCCACAGCAAGCAGCTCCGGCACACCTTCAGATTTTACTCCCAGCAATGGCGTACGTGGGCTGCTTGCTTCATACAGGCAGCTTGGCACAGGTATTGCAGAAGGAAGCTGGAGGATAACCTGCATGAGAAGGAGAGGATGTTCCAAGCAGCAATCGTGACTGACGCCTCTAGTTCTCCCAGTCTTGGCGCGGCGCTCTACGCTGCCCATTTCGCTTCCAACATGGTACGGATCTTACGGAGAAACGCTGCCCGAAAGGGCCGTTTGCTGGAAAGAGTGTCTTCAAGGCTGTTGTTACAGAAGCCAGCAGAACCCAACTTCTTCGCTGAAGAATAGTGTGACCTTTTTTTTTCTCTCGAACCACGAGAGCTGCGCGTCGTTTAATTAAGGTAGAAAAAAATGTACACGAGTCCAGAAGGACCCAAACTCGAGTAAAAAAACACCACTCACACCAACACCACTCATACAAAAACTACAGACTCGCCACAGACTACTAGAAACAAACGACCAGCAACCACATGCCTAAAGACCAATGCAAACAACGTTCATCAGCTGGCAACCTGTAATCCTTTTAGAAGCATCAAGTGATAGATCTTGTTAATATATCGTCAGCATCTATGATTGGATGCTGTAATAGCTAGACACCAAATGGTCTGAAGCTGTCAGGTTTGATCGAATAACGTAAATCAGTTTTACCCATTTATTGGTTGGTTATCTGTACATGACGAAATGGGCTTTAGATATATGGAATGTGTGGATTAGTATACGCTTTCCACGCTGAATTTTTTTTCTCGAACAGGCATTTTGCCAGTATTATTTCATTAAGCACAGTGGAAATATGAGTCTTACAGACAGTGCACGGAAGCCCTGCGATTTAGAACCACAGCTGCCTGCTGACAGGGCATCCCAGTAGCAAGTGGCTGACCGTCTCTGCGTGCTGGTCACAGAATGTGCAGGCGTCCTCATCTTGCAATCCATGCCGACATTCCATATTCGTTTATGAGACAAAGCCAGAAGAAGAATTTGATTTCCCCCAGCGCCTTCACCTTTCCACGCTGAATCCATAACTAATAAATCAATATAAAGCCCACGGAGCAAGGTGCTTCCGCGGAGCAAGCACTCAGGTGCCCGACCTGCTCAAGCTCATCAAGCGTGAGGCTGTTAATACTTTTTTTTATACAAATTCAGTTGATTTCTCGAAAAGTGAGAATTGCGTTCTTTTGTAGACAAAGAGAGTATTATGTACTGCAGACGCACCACAGAAAAACAAAAATCAGTGATTGCAATTATTTTTCACCGTATACTCACACGCATCACAGAACCTTTTTTTACAACATACTCACTCTGTCCCATAATTTAAGTCGTTATAGGATGCGTGTAGGTCAATTTTTTTTTAACTTTGACTAGGTTTGTAGAAAATGTGTGCAACAATTATATCTTTAAATAAGTTTATTATGAAAGTATATTCAACTATCTATCTAATGATATTAATTATGTATTATAAATATTAATATTATTTTATATATAATTAGTTAAAGTAAAAAAAAGCTGACCTCTGGAAAAGCAAGAATGATTCCTAATATGTGACGGAGGAAGTACGGTGATTATGATGCACGCCCCTATCTCTCCAGGCCTCTACACAGCTCCACCCGCAGGCCGCAGCACAAAGCACAGATTCCAAAGAGGGAAAGCAGGGGAAAAAAAAGGAAAGACGGGAAGGAGTCGCAAGTTGCAGAGAATCCACCGCCACCACCGAGCAACGCGCGCCGGCGCCCTTCTATTTCTTCAGCCCTCGCGCCGCCGCTCCCCTCCTCCCCAACCCGCCCTGCTTCGCCATCGCCCATCTGCCACCTGGTAAGGAGCACCCCCCCGCACGCCTCTACACCACACGCCACAGTTTTTTCTAGAAGTTTCTAGACAGTTGAGTATTTTCTAGATGCTATGTCAGGACTAGTTGAAGTTGATTGGGTTAAACATGACTTATGATGCTCTAATCTAGCCACGTCTTTGTAGCCAGCACCAGCAAAGATAAAGTTGGCGTGGTGTGGCTGGTAGTTGCCCACACCGTCTGTTTCCATCTTCGAGGCCCACGTTTTCCTGTACCCTGCAACCTGTTCGGCGTCCCATTCCCATGCTGGCACCGATGCTCGTTGATTTGTGCTTGCAATCGCTTGCCGCTTAGCCTAGGTGCTGTTTGTTGCTTTGATCCAGAGGCTGGGAACTCCAAAGAGGAACAGGGTCCATGGAGGCTGGAGGCACAGGAAATGGTTTGAGTGGGGCGGTGCAGACAAAGGGGAGTGGGGGTGACGGCTCTGCCAAGCCGCTGCCCCCTTGCTGTGTCAAGGCGAGAGCCGCCGCTCCAGAGTCTGAGGCCAAGTGCCATGCTACCGTGGTTTCAGGATGGTTCACTGAACCGCGATCACGATGTGGTAGGCCTTGATTGTCTTGCTTGATAACATAGATGCTACAACAGTGCAACTTATTACTGTTATATCTGTTCACCAGTTATTTTGTTTGATCCTGATTGCTGCCTGTGCAGGTAAAGCCAGCAAAGTTCAATATTACAATAACCCGATGTGGCCAGGTACTTGTCCAGCCACTGCCAATATTGTTTACCTCATGCGGAGGGACTTTACTCCAAAATTCAAAAGTTAAATTGTTTGTTTGTCTTTGGAATATCATTTTTCTGATAGATATGTAGTTATTGGCTTGACAACTTCATGCTTCAATGGATGCAGTGCTCAATTATTAAAATTGCAAATGAATTTTCATTCAGTGATTTAACTAGAATTTATTTATGTGAGAAGTGGTTTAGAGTTTAGACTGGCTTTTTGTTGAAAGAAAATTCAAGCATTTGCTGAAAGTTGATGTGCGAAGGGCAGGCCTGGTGTAGTGGTGAGAGCTGTCTCACTGAGTCACCAGGTCGCGGGTTTGAAGCAGCCTCTCCGCAGATTTGCAGGGGGAAGGCTTGTCTCGGTTTTTTCCTTCCCTAGACCCCACTCATGTGGGAGCCTCCGGCACTGGGTCTGCCCTTTTTTTTTGCTGAAAGTTGATGTGCAACTTGTCCAGCTTTTGTACAAAGAAGGGTTTTTGACATCTCTAAGGCCTCCTTTGGATCAATCATGGGGATTGGAGGAATTCCCCCTCAATCCCCTCCAATCCCCATGGGGAATGATTGATCCAAAGGAGCCCTAAGTTGGTATCTATCTGTATTATGACAAGCACACCCTTATAGTACATCGCAAAATTTTGTATAGGAAGTTCATCTAGCATAGTGCATGTTATTCAAAGTTAGGATTTGTTTTTCTTCTTATTTACTTGTTTGTAAATCGTAAGGCACACTCTATAGTCTGTTGACTGTGCTAGTGGTGCATGTCTCATGCCTGCGTAAATTTTCCTCATGGCAGAATGACCGAATGCATTTGCAGATGAGTGCTACTTTGGGGTTTTTTTTATATATATAATTGTCAATGGTAGTGTGCATAGTTTTGTCGTTTCCACAGGAAAGCCTATGCTCTTTTTGTTTCATTTCCTGACCCCTGTAATGTGTTAAAATTTATGTTCCAATGTTGGATCATCAGTGTTTGGGGCTTTTGGCTATACTCCCCAGTGTGGTCTTTGTCCTTAACTCCTTTAATACATTGTTTGGCATCCTATAATATGCTATTTTGGCATTGAAGGGAATTTCCAATTGTTCTCCATTGCAGTAATTTTCTGACATTTGCCCTATAGTGAAACAGTTGTACTTTCTCATATCTCTTGTCATCTTATTCTCGTATATAGGAGAGGCCAATTCTTTGAAAGTGGAGAAGATCTTGTACCAGGGGAAATCGCCATACCAAGAAGTCTTAGTTTTCGAGGTTCACATCAGCTGTTTATACCAGAAATAAAAAACTGCAGTTGGCTTCTATTGTTTATAACCTGGTAATTTTTGTATGCAGTCGTTGACCTATGGGAAAGTCCTTGTGCTTGATGGTATTGTTCAGTTGACTGACAAGGATGAATGTGCATACCAGGAAATGATTACTCACCTACCACTTTGTTCAATTCCATCCCCTAAAAAAGTATGTCTCCTGATCTTTGTTTTTCATCAATATTGTGAAATTATAGATAATGCTGTGTTGCTTAGCAGAAATTCATTTGGAAGATATTCTGCAGCTATATCTCAGCACATGGAATATTTCTTTTTTCCTGAATTTGAATGGAAACTTGGTGACTTATGTCCTTAGGAACTACTTTGCAGGTTTTGGTTATTGGTGGTGGTGATGGAGGTGTACTTCGAGAGATATCAAGACATAGTTCAGTGGAGTCTATTGACATATGTGAAATTGATCAGCTAGTTATTGATGTAAAGTTGTCCTTTGATGCCTTAAACTTTTGAAGTTTAATTGCTTAATTATACTTTGCTGATATAGATCTGAACTCTGTAGGTTTGCAAAGATTTCTTCCCACACTTGTCTGTTGGATTTGAAGATCCTCGTGTTCAACTTCATGTTGGCGATGGTATGCCAATAATTCCATGAGGCCATGATGAGTACATTATTTTTTGATATCTGCTGAAGTTTCCTATTTGTTTTAGATATTGGTAAATACTTTTTCTTGAACTGTAATTTCACAAGAATTGTTTTTCTTCTACTTTCAGCTGTGAAATTCTTGAGAAATGCTTCTGAAGGGACATATGATGCTATCATTGTTGATTCATCAGATCCAATAGGTGAGTTTATGCTGCCATTCATTGTCTTCCTTGAGCACAGTACCATGGAAAGTCTTTGCTATGTCTTTGGTGTTGTATATCTGTTCTGTGCATTTTGGTTTTCTGCTTCCTATTATATTACTCCTGAACGGCTGAACTCCATGTTGTTCTGTGTAAATGATGAATAATTTGCTCATATTTTCTTTCAAAAAGAACTTTGACCTATAAACTTTCAGTCAAAGACTCAAATCTTATTTTCTTAGTTACTTTTGGCATTTGCAGGGCCTGCTCAGGAACTTGTGGAGAAGCCTTTTTTTGAGACAATTTCTAGAGCTTTGAGGCCTGGTGGCGTCCTTTGTAATCAAGCTGAGAGTATGTGGTTACATACACATTTGATTCAGGATATGCTTTCAATTTGTTGTGAAACTTTCAAGGGTTCTGTACGCTATGCATGGACTAGTGTCCCAACATACCCAAGGTTCTTCACTTCCCTATTCTCTAGTCTCCTTATCTTTATCCTTTCTTGCTTCCATTGGTCCTAAGATCATTTTTATTATTGATGGAATGGTGCGTACTTGAAGGGCGGGCCTGGTGCAAGTGGTAGAGTCATACCGCCTGTGACCGGAAGGTCCCGGGTTCGAGT